CGCAGCTGTCAATAATTATCTAACCTTGTATTATTGAATCATGGTATTACACTGCCTCGGGAGACACGAACGACAATAGCCCAACTCCGCTCTGGCTACTGCAGCAGGTTAAACTCCTACCTGAGTAGACTGAATGAGGATGTGCCANTGCGGATGTGCCAAATGAGTGTCCGGCATGCGGAGAGACCCCACATGACTGGAAACATCTCTTCGCATGCCCGGAAAACCCGACAACCTTAACGGCTTTGTCCTTGTGGACCAACCCAATAGAAGCTGCACGCTTCCTAGGGCTGCCGTTAGTGGAACTTGACGACAACGACTGAGATACCAACCGATCTGGGCGGGGTTGATGTAGCCGCTACAACAACAACAAGAAGATCGCATTTTTAATCGTTCGCGATCGTTCGTTGGTAGAGTGTGGGTAAACAAATACTTGAATTTAGTATATTTTGATACGAACGAAGGCAGGTTACTCGCTTTTTTGACATAAATGGGCAAAGTATCGAATATTGACAAGACAAAACTTGCTACATATAATAAAGACACAAATTTTTCGAAGTGCCTTTTGTGCGAAAAACAACTTAAAGGCTACATATTAGGAAACATTAAAAGACATTACGAAACTATACACAAACATAACTTTAATGAAAGCGTTCCATCTACAAGCGACAATAACGTTTCCAAACGCCGAAGTTCTAACCAATTTGGTCTAAAATTAAATAAAAAAGATTTTTTAAAGTGGTGTGTTGGATTGGTAACCGTGAAAAACATTCCCTTTCGACTTTTCGATGACGAGCTTTATTTTAAGCAAATAATTGGACCCTATGAAAATCAATTTAGTTTACAATTCAATTCAAAAAATATTGTTGAGCATATAAATCTGTTCGCAAATAACATAAAAGATCTTTTGAAACAAAGTTTGTCCAAGAAAATGTTAAGCTTAAAAGTCGATGTAGCTGCCAGAATGGGGAAGAGTATATTGGGAATAAATATCCAATATATTAAAGATTTTAAAATTGTGATAAACACAATTGGCATGATACAATTGAAAAAGAGGCATACAGCACATTTTTTAAAAGAGGAAATATTAAAATGCTTGCAACAATTCGATATTGATCTTACACAAATATATTCAACTACTTCGGACAACGGGGCAAACATGTTAAAAGCTTCAAAACTACTTCAACAAGACATGATAGATTTACAAAATGATGAATGCGAAACGACTTCAGAAAATGAGAATGATGACTACGAATTAGTACACAATCGCTTGAATTCAGTACTGGCAGTAGTAAGATGTGCCGCGCACACAATTCAATTGGCGGAATATGATTCTTTCAAGGAAATGCAAAATAAACTGGAGGAGTGCAGGAAAATTGTGAAACTACTTAGGGCTAGCATAAGAAGTTGTATCAACTCTGCGGATATACGTTTGCCACCAATTGATAATATAACTCGATGGAACTCAACATTTGAAATGATAGAATCCCTTTTGAATTTTAAACAGCATATTAATGGAAACGATATGGGATTTTCTATTGACTGTGAAATTGATTGGAACTCCATAGAAGACTTTGTCAATGCATTTACACCAATGGCGCAATGTACCAAACAACTTCAAGCTGAACAATACATTATCGGCGATTTTTACAGAGACTGGCTTGTATGTGAAGCAAAATTAAAAAAAAGGCTGAAAATGCGTTTGCAATAAAGTTATTGGAATCTATGAGAAGAAGGAAAGAAAAATCACTCGACAATGTTGCATTCCTTTCTGGTATATACTTCGACCCAAGATTCAACTTTTTGGATTCACCGTATATTAATGATGACCAAAGGAAAAGTGCAGTGGTATATTATATTGTAAATAATCTAATCTCTTAACATTGTAAGATAAATAAAATTTTTTTATAGCTGCACATATTAAGAACAAATGCAGCGCTTAGTTCATTAAATGGAGATGGAAATTCATGTAACGAAGGAATTGACCCTCAAGAGGATATACATGCTTCGCCAAATGATCCCCACAACATGTTAGAAGAAGAGCTAAATAATATGACCAGCAGCCGATTGACAACTCAAAACAGTGCCAATATTCGCCAAAAGCTTGACAATTTAGCATACGGCCAAAGAATGTCTTTCGCAACAAATGTACTCGGCTATTGGAAAAATCTGCATACTAAAGAAAGAGACTTATTTAAGCCGTCTGAAGTCATTTTAGCAGTTCCATCGAGTCAAGTTTCCGTAGAAAGAGCATTCAGCGCGCTATCCACAATTATAACAAAGCAGCGCTCAAGACTAAGCAGTGACACAATTAATAATTTATTGATTGTAAAGCTGAACAACAAATTATTGGAAAAAGTTAGTTTCTAAAAATCTGATCTATATTTTGTGAATCTTGAACTATACTGACACTTCTTGTGTACATAAATTGTTGTTATTGAGGGATTTATTTTATTCTCATTTTGAAATGTGAACTTATGTTTACATTTTCTAATATTATTATGTTTTTTGTAATCTTGAAGTGCATTGATTTTTAATATACTTATGTATGTACATATAATTTTCTGGTATTTTGATTTTTTGATGGGGACAAACAGGAATTTATTTTTTTGAATGGAAGATAAAATAAATAATATAAAAAAAACTTTTTAATATACAACGCTTTTATAAATGGACTAAAAAGTTGAAAATAATACTTCTCAGTCCCATAGAATTTGTTTTGATAACTTTTGATTTCGAAATTTTAGCAAAAGTCATTATAAACAATCTATGAAATTGAAAATGAAAAACGTGGAGCGCATGGGATGGGATCTTTCCGAAGTCTTTAAAATTTCTTTACGATTCAGAATACTCTGAAAAAATGGTTTGCAGGGTACACATACTAATTTATGTATGTACATATATATGCATACATATCCATATATGCGTATATATTTACAGGGGCGGACCCAGCAGCAATTCTTGGGGGGGAGGAAATTTTTATACCCGAGCGCACTTGTGCACAAGGGTATTATAACTTTGTTCACATTAACGGTTGTTTGTAACAGGAAAAACGAATCGAGATAGATATAGACAAATGTATACATAAATGATCAGAATGAAAAGAGAAATCGATTAAGCGGTGACTGTCTGTCCGTCCGTCCGTCCGTCCGTCCGTCCGTC